TTGCTACAGAGACTTTTGGTTAGTTCGTTAAGGATCCTGTCGTCGTTTCGTCTCCTGAAATTTCAGCTTAGCGGTTCTCTTGATAAGAGTATTTGGCAGAGTTTTAGCCATTTCGAAATATCCTTGATTGCCTGCCGGGGCATCAGCACCTAGTTCCGAGCGTTGCCATTCTGAAAAACACGTAAATATTTGTATTTTCGTGTATAGGTACATTATGAAATACGATTTTGATTTAGACGAGTACGTATTGTGATACTTGACGAAGCAACTGGTAGCTTGGACAGTGCAACAGATAGGCTAATCCAGAAGTGCATACAGGAAGCATTTGCTGATTGTACACTGATAATGATTGCCCATCGTCTGGAGAATGTGCTGGGCATGGATAAAATACTTCACATGAGTCAAGGAAAGGTTGAAAAATTTTCATTTTACCTAAATACAAAAAAAAAAAAAAATAGAATAGGAAGATTCAACTTAAATATTCCATTTGCAATATGCTAATGCGCATAGTAGGGTTTGGGAGACGGTGTTTTGAAATATGTATTATAAACAGTGTGACATATTCATATCTCATGTGCTGAGAATATGTAGAAATATTTGTGTCTGTGTTTCATCCCTTAGCTGTAAATATAGACATCTGAAGGATTGGTTAGGAGGGTGGGAATCATCAGTACAGCCCCCTAACCACCATGTGAAACAGCAAATGTGCCCACGTGAGAAGACAGAAGGAAGTGAGGGGAAAGAAAGGAAGGAATGTTATAAAAATGAAGCAAAACGTCAAACTAACGTGAAGGGCATGGTTGTTGGATTTTACTGGTTTGGCTGCTGGCTTAATTTGTGTTGACATTCTGAAGATCCTAAAACACAGACATCAAAGTGTTAAACCCAACTGGAGTTGACACTACAACGTCGAGCCATCGTTACTGAGTAGCATAGCGCAAACGTGCATAACTTATGTCAGCCGAAATTTCTTAGTTTCCGAAATTCTCCAAAAATTAATGCAGTTTAAAAAGTGGAAAAGTTCCAGTGTCCTCCTCTCAGAGTTTTATTGCTGTTTTTTAGCTTATTTTCAATTCGTTTTTGAGAAACTTTTATTCAAAAGAGCATTGGATATCGAAGAAAAACAATTGAGAATTAGGAAGATCTTAACGGAGCTGTGGAAATTTGGCGACGCTTTTATTTGATTTCGAAAATATTATCACTAGTTTCTTTTTTATTTTTTGGTATTATTATTTTTGCTATTTTTATTAAGGTTGTGGAATTCGACACCACAGAAAACCTGATTAACAACGAAAACTCGCCGTTTCGACGTTTGCTGGGAAGCAGAAAGCTGAGACAAGCTTTAGCTCAACGGCAGAAAAAAGCGAAAGAAGCATCATCCAGTGATACGAAAGAAGACGCATCCAAA